TATGCATATAGTAAATTCAAAAACTTAAAAAATCTTCTTTAAAGAACCCAAAGAGCTAGAGCTAAGATATTAAGCATGAAACATCTTCTAGTGAGTGTCTACCAAGTTTGTTCAAATAAAAGCCCTGGGGTCAAAATTGGCCCCGCCCCAGGGGGTCATTGATTTTCCCTATATGCATATAGTAAAAACTTTAAAAAATCTTCTTTTAAAGAACTCAAAGAGCTAGAGCTAAGATATTTAGCATGAAACATGTTCTTATGGGTGTCTACCAAGTATGTTCAAATAAAAGCCCTGGGGTCAAAACTGGCCCCGCCCGGGGGGGTCATTGATTTTCTTTATATGTGTATAGCAAAAACTTAAAAATCTTCTTTGAAAAAACCCAAATAGCTAGAGTTTAGATATTAAGCATGAAACATCTTGAAGTAAATGTCTACAAAGTTTGTTCAAATGAAAGCCCGGGGGTCAAAACTGGCCCTGCCCCAGGGGTGTCATTGTTTTTAACTATATGTGTATAGTAAAAACTTTAAAAATCTTCTTTTAAAAACCCCAATGAGCTAGAACTTAGATGTTTAGCATGAAACATCTTCTTATGGGTGTCTACCAAGTCTGTTCTGTTCAAATAAACAAATAAAAGCCCTTGGGTAAAAATTGGCCCCGGGGGGGGGGGGGGGGGGGGCTATATACAGGTGAGCGACCTCAGGGCCATCATGGCCCTCTTGTTCCCTTATACGAGGGTTGTTCGGGAAGTTCTGGGAATTTTGTCATATCTCCTACATTTTTTGTTTCTAAGACATAATATTTTGCACATACTAAGATTAGCATATCATGGAACTATTCTTAAAAATTGAATAGAATCAGACAACAATAGCAGGAAATAGCAGTAACCATAGCAACACTATAACGCCGCACCGGAGCAGTCCGACTCTAAAGAAAGGTATAACGCGCTACACTAATAATATTTCGTAATTTTGATAACGTAAAAAATGCGCGAAAACGCTGGTCAGCATCTGAACGTCATGACGTCATTTCCTGAAAATATCATAACGTTATTTAAATTCTCAACGGATCAACACTGTTTTAAAGTTGTTGCCCAGAGCCACTGAGTAAACAACATGATGTCGATAGGTGACGTTGAATTGCGAAGCATCGTGAAATTTTGTGTTGCGCTGGAAAAGTCTTCCACAGAAACAATGAAAATGATCAATTCTACAGGAAAATACAAGAAATGCAGTCCGGCTACATGGTTCGCACTGGCCTTGAATTTGGTTTCAACCTTGAAAAGTCCTTGAATTCAGGGTTGCCTTGAAAAAACACTAAAATTGTCCTTGAATTTCAGTAAACCCCCTTGAATTTCGGTAAAATGCCTTGAAAATCCAAAAGGGTATAAAACCTGTCGCTGTAAAGGTCAGGCAAATTTTCCGCTACAAATCGGACATGTGAACGAAGGCAGCCCGATCGAGTGCGCCCATTTGGATCTGTTTTAGTAGTGTTTAGCCAGCGTTACGGTTTTGGCACGGATTTTAACAAGCACTTGTGTATGACGTCATCGCAAATTGTGTACAAAATGTCAGCTTCCATTGCGAAGTAAAAAATGGGAAAATACACTAAGAAATGTACGTTTCAGCTCAAATGGCTTCAACAATACAGTTGGGTAAAACAAGTTATACAAGACCCACGAAAAGCACATTGTACCATGTGTATGAAAACCATCAATTTGTCGCAAATGGGAGAGAGTGCATTAACATCGCATGCGAGGGGTGCAAAGCACCTAAAAAATCTAGACATCAAGTTGTCATTGACGAAGTGTGGCCTTGCATTTGTCAGACAGGAAGGAACTATAAATGTCAAAACTGAAAATTGCAGTAGATCTGATTCAAATAATAACATTGTGCCATCCCAATCCACGACGGAAACTGTGCATGACATGACAATACCACCCCCACCCACTTCTAGTAATCATTGATTTGTGACTGAATCAAACATTCTAAGAAAGGGCTTCAAAGAAAAGAAACTGGAAGTTGAGGAAATTGGAAGAGAAATCCAAAAAAGAAAGGAAAAACTAGATAGAGTTGTGTGAATTTACTCAATCACCTTATGTTACAGTTTTGGTGTTCATATATTCTACTGACTGTGCCGATTTTCTAAATATAGTCACTGTTTTGCAATTCTAGTCATTTGAACCTTAAATTGAAATACACATGTTTTATTCACATGCTTTATATCACAGATATGGTTGTAAAAGTATAATTTTAAATAAGATCAATTGCAATAAAAATGTATATCACAGATATGGTTGTAAAAGTATAATTTTAAATAAGATCAATCGGGAAAAAAATGCCTTGAAAATGACAATTTTACCTTGAAAAGTCCTTGAAAAGTCCTTGAATTTTGATTTGAGAATTTGGTATGAACCATGGGCTACAGTGTATAGATGGCATTCTCGTTTTAAAGAAGGAAGAAACCCTCCATACAGCCCGGACCTCGCTGCGATGGACTTCCGTGTGTTCCCGGAGCTCAAATCACAGCTGCGTGGAAAACGCTTTGACTCAGCTGACGATCTTAATAAGCATACGCAAGCTATAGTCTTGTCCTTTACCGATAGCTGGTACATGGAAACATACAATAAGTGGATCAGCCGACACAGGAAATGCATCGAAATTGCAGGTGACTACGTTGAAAGGTGCGACGATCGATGGACTTTAACGTTGCATAACGTTGCAAATGACGTCGGCGTGTTCCGGGTGTTTGTTATATGGTTATTTACTATTTTTATTATGTTTTAGTTTCTGTGTGTATGATGATGATATTTTCAGATACTGTACAGTATATATTGAAATAAATCCATATATATTTATATTTACGCTAAGCCGACTACAGCGTGTGCTATAAAACAATTCTCAGAACTTCCCGAACAACCCTTATATATTCCTTATAAAAACCTATTTATGAGTCGAGATTTTATGTGTCAAACTTTTCGATGTGTCGAAGTTTTTTCGTGGTCCGTATAGAATAAATCTAGTACAATTTACCACAAATAAGTCAAAGTCCTTCGATTATTTTGACACCTTCGATCTTGAGACATTTTTCACACCTTTTCTGGCCGCGAAGACGATTTCCGATCAACTTTAGTGACAGGTGTTATTTACACAGCCGAGTGTTCAAACAGCCTTTGTATGCGTTTAAATGTGTGAAAAAATGCTTTAATCGCTACTATTTTGATTGCCGTAGCGGTATTTGAAAGTACATGTGAACAATAAGATCTATCATTTGAGTACTTCCGTGACCCGGTGTCGCGTGATAATCACACGCGAAATATTTACTATATGCTGGTTAAGTTATTGCCCTTTCGTATTGTTACGCCTCAACAGGTAGTCCAAATCAATTTAGCCGTGAAAAGTTACTTATCATGTAATATTTATCATTGTATAATGTAAATTATCAGATTAAAGAATGAAAGAAAAACATGAAATAGGTTACGTTATAGATCTTATCATTAGGGCTAGTCACATGTTGAAATTTTGTCATGAAATTCAGACCGATTCATGAGTCGAAGTCCCGATGTGTCGAAGTTTTTACTCAAGTCCCTCCAACTTCGACTTACCAAAGTTCTACTGTAAATGGGTTTACTTCATATTTAGACACAAGATCTTTTAGGTCAGTACCTTCATGAATATCAAACTCAAATTGACCTTGACTTTGGAGGTCAAGTGATTGAATTTTCACTGATTTTTGCTTTAATTGGCTGAAACTTGGTAATCAATCAATGGATTATTTTCATACTAGAACAAAACATCGGCAGTGTTGATGGAAAAGTTGTTCAGTATATTGAGAGCACTTTTATATCAAAAGAAAATCTAAACTTTCATTACATAATCTTTGTTTATAACAAAAACTTGTAAAACATGCTAAATAACACAAAATAATGAATATTTTGATGTACTAGCAAGAAATATTTACACATGAGTATAACTGACATAATTAGATAGGGATATTCCTACATCAGTGAAAAGGGTGGCAGATTAATTACCGATAGGATTACAAAAAAAACAAAAAAAAAACAAAAAAACTTTATAAATCATGTTTTTTCGTTATAAGTACATCTTAAAACATCTTTTTATTGTGTTTATTGTAATCTACATATCGAAATTTATTGAAAACAGAAAAAGATGCATATTTTTGGCCATAGGCCTTTAAGCTCTACAAAATTTTCATAATTAATGCGCTGGAGTTAAAAATATATTTATGAAGAAACTAAAGTTATAAAATCTGTCCAGAAACCACTATCATCAGAGTGTAGATATATTTTATGTGGCATAATTATGAGCTCAATTATAAATATCTTTGATCACTTCTTCTTGCATAACAGACTGGCGTTTCCGTTAGTTTTACCCATGCCGGAAATTTCATCTGGCATGGGGGGTTCCAGATGAGTCGCGTGCTGTACAATGGCACGATAAAGATGACGTAATTTTACCGTTATGAATGATTTTGTAATTCATACGCTGTTGAATGAAAGTAGTTACGGTTGTAATGATATAAATTTTCATTGAAAATAAAGATAAAGAATTTAAAATATAATGGAATATGGTTGAATATGCAAGAAAAAATATCTGACATATGTTTGCGGTTCGGATCGGAATATCCGTCCGTCGGTCACCCGCCCAAGTTATAAAATCTGTCCAGAAACCACTTTCATCAGAGTGTAGCTCAATTATAAATATCTTTGATCACTTCATCTTCATACCTTTTGATACTAGAAAGCATTTAAATATTCTTATGTGATGCTATAAACCTCTTGAACCTCTATAAAAGTTATTTAAAGCATGCCCCTGAGGTTAAAAATGCATTGAAGAATTACTACTTTTTCTAATAAAGGAATTTAGGTGAGCTATCTAGGACAGTCATAGCCCTTTTGTATGCTTTGATTAATGATCTAGACTGTAACTCATATGTTTTTGATAATAGTTTGATAAGATGGTAAAAATGTGTATTTAATATAGGCAGTCTGTTGTTTCTGCAATGGAATGGTTATTACAACATGAGAATGATGATGACATTGATGAACCACTACCACAGGGATCATCTGATGAGGTAAGTACACTTCTGTTTTATGTGTGTTTTTACTCTTTGGAATGAATGCTAGCAGAAATACAAACCTTTCCAACCTGAGTACGAAACAAGACCAGCTTTCAAAAATATGGGCAGTTTGACCAGATTGTGTACTCTTAAACTGTTTTTAGTGCAACTTTTTCAAATAAAAATTTGTGTTTCGCTTATGTTGCTGCTGTTATACAAAGACAAACATAGGTCATATTTTGTTTTATTAGTCCCCTACAGGATACCGGGGTGACTAAGTTTGCACACTGTCCGTCGTTTGCACTATCATCTAAGTGTAAACAGAACTGAAGAGAATAATATAGTTCATTCTATAACAATAGAATAAGGGGCTAACGGCCCTTTATTAACAAAAAAAAACAACAAAAAAAAACAACAAAATAACAAAAGAAATAGCCTCTTATCCCATTTGTCTGTCTTAGTTTACTAAAGCTGTATCACCTTATAACTCAAAAAGTACTGAAAATATTTATCTGAAACTTAAAATATGGATTGATGACAATATGGAGATAATTGCCACCGCAGCAGCTGCAATGCGGTGGCATATAGCGATTCACCTGTCTGTGCATGTATGTGTGTTATATAGATTATATAGTGAACTTAAAAAAATGTTCTCCTTAAAAACAGTTAGTCCAATTTAAACCAAACTTGGCAGGATTGATCCTTGGGTGAAGGACTTCCAAGAAGTTGTTCAAAAAATTTGATTCCATGCAGAAATCATGTTGCCATGGCAAAAAGAATTATTAGAAATTAAAAAAAAAAATCTTATTGTAAAGACCCACAAGGCCTAGAGCTTTTATATTTTGCAAAAGGCATTGTCTTGCGGACCTCTACCAAGATAATTCTAATTATAGCCCTAGAGTCAAAATTGACCCCACCCCAGGGGTAATGTGTTTTCGTTGTTAGCTCACCTGAGCACAAAGTGCTCAAGGGTGAGCTTTTGTCATCACTCTGCGTGCGTCGTGCGTCCGTGCGTCATGCGTCCTTCAAAAAATGGCGTCAAACTTTTCAAACAACATCTCCTAAACCACATGGCCAATTGCAATTAAACTTTACAGAAATGATCCTTAGGTGGACCCCTTTCAAAGTTGTTCAAAAATTTAAATTCCATTAAAAACTCTGGTTGCCATGGCAACCAATAGGAAAAACTTAAAAAATCTTCTTTTAAAAAACCCTAAGAGCTAGAGCTTAGATATTTGGCTTGAAACATCTTCTAATGAGTGTCTACCAAGTTTATTCAAATCAAAGCCCTGGGGTCAAAATTGGCCCCGCCCCAGGGGGTCATTGATTTTCCCTATATGCATATAGTAAAAACTTAAAAAATCTTCTTTTAAAGAACTCAAAGAGCTAGAGCTAAGATATTTAGCATGAAACATCTTCTAATGAGTGTCTACCAAGTTTGTTCAAATAAAAGCCCTGGGGTCAAAATTGGCCCCGCCCCGGGGGTCATAGATTTTCCTTATATGTGTATAGCAAAAACTAATCTTCTTTGAAAAAACCCAATTAGCTGGAGTTTAGATATTAAGCATGAAACATCTTCTAGTGAGTGTCTACAAAGTTTGTTCAAATAAAAGCCCTGGGGTCAAAATTGGCCCCGCCCCAGGGGGTCTTTGATTTTCCCAAAATAAAAGCCCTGGGGTCAAAACTGGCCCAGCCCCGAGTGTCATTGATTTTCCTTATATGTGTATAGCAAAAACTTAAAATCTTCAAAACCCAAATAGCTGGTGTTTAGATATTAAGCATGAAACATCTTCTAGTGAGAGTCTACAAAGTTTGTTCAAATAAAAGCCCTGGGGTCAAAACTGGCCCCGCCCCAGTTGTGTCATTGTTTTTAACTATATGTGTATAGTAAAAACTTAAAAAATCTTAATCCTACAATACATTTACTGCCATACAATCGATAAAAAGATGTTGATAATCTTCTATTTCATTACATTTATTACAGAGTGGAGATTAGACCATTTTTCATTTATAGCGCGTTTCTTTGCTTGTTAAGATCATGTTAATTACTCTAAATTTGAATTGTTTATACCGATTATCAGGAATTCTTGTAATGAATTTATACATATCATTCCAGTCCAGTTTTCTCTCATATTTATTTGACCAATAAAAATGTGTAGAGGGTTTAATGAATACTCTTTTTACTAATATTTGATATATTGTTATTTATTTTAAGACGTTTTTCTGTTTTTATTTTTGTTTGCGAAGAGTGAAACGTTTTCATAGTTTATTTCCAGGCCATAACCCTAGCTTTAAAGAGCAAATTTAATTCAGCGTAAACTTATCTACTAGCTTATTTAGAATAACATTTTGATCTATTTCACCCTGATCATTAAGTAAATCATTTAGAAAATATATATTCGATTAAATCCATGTTTTAAAAAAACAAACATTGGTTATTTATTTTAATGAATCTATTGCCCCAAATTATTTGTTTTCTTATTTGTTCAAATGTCAAATTTTGATTTTTATTATGTAAATCACGAGTTTTTATCCATATTTTAATAAGTTCTTGATGAAATTCAGTCACATTACTACAATTGAGACTTTTAATAGTGTCTGTATTACAAAGAAATATAAAGAAATTGTCATCAAAATCTTTATACCCCCCCATACGAAGTTTTTGGGGTATATAGGAGTCACCCGGTAGTCGGTCGGTTGGTCGGTCGGTCAAGCCGTCCGTTGCATTTTCTTTGTCCGGAGCATAACTTGAAGACTATTGGTTGGAATTCAATATAACTACATACAGTGGTCAAGCACATTGAGAGGAAGTGCAGTGCACAAGAACCATAACTCCATCTTGACTTATTACAGAGTTACTGTCCTTTGTTACTTTTCCTTGTCCAGAGCATAACTTGAAAACTACTGGTTGGAATTCAAAACAACTTCATACAATGGTCAAGCACAATAAGGGGAAGTGCAGTGCATAAGAACCATAACTCTATCTAAAGTAATTACAGAGTTATTGCCCTTTGTTACTTTTCCATTGCTTTCTTTTGTCAGGACCATAACTTGAAGACTTATGGTTGGAATTCAATATTACTTCATACAATGGTCAAGCACATTGAGAAAAAGTACAGTGCACAAGAACCATAACACCATCTTGACTTATTACAGTGTTACTGCCCTTTGTTACTTTTCCTTGTCCGGAGCATAACTTAAAAACTACTGGTTGGAATTCAAAACAAGTTAATTCATACAATGGTCAACCACAATAAGGGGAAGTGCAGTGCACAAGAACCATAACTCCATCTTGACTAATTACAGAGTTATTGCCCTTTATTACTTTTCCATTGCTTTCTTTTTTCCGGAGCATAACTTGAACACTAACGGTTGGAATTCAATATAACTTCATACAATGGTCAAGTATACTGAGAGGAAGTGCAGTGCACAAGAGCCATAACTCCATTTTGACTAATTACAGAGTTATTTCCCTTTGTTACTTTTCCTTGTCCGGAGCATAACTTGAAAACTACTGGTTGGAATTCAGTACAACTTCATACAGTTGTCAAGGACATTAAAAGGAAGTGCAGTGCACAAGAACCTTTGACTCCATTTTTACAAAATACAGAGTTACTGCCCTTTGATACTTTTCCTTGTCCAGAGCATAACTTAAAAATGTACTGGTTGGAATTCCAATTGATCAAGCACAAATAAGAGGAAGTACAGTGCACAAGAACTTTAACTCTGTCCAGAGTAATTATAGAGTTATTGCCCTTTGTTACTTTTCCATTGCTGTTTTCTTGTCCAGAGCATAACTTGAAAACTACTAGTTGGAATTCAATACTATTTCATACAATGGTCAAGTATATTGAGAGGAAGCACAGTGCACAGAAACCATAACTCTTTCTTGACTCATTTAAAAGTTTTTGCCCTTTTTTACTTTTTATTCTCCAGTGCGTTACTTGAAAATTAATGGTTGGAATTCAGTGAAACTTTATACAATGGACAAGGGCAGTGAGACGAAGTGCAGTGCACAAGAAACATAACTCAATTTGGACTAATTACAGTTATTGCCCTTGGTTACTTTTTTGTCCAGTGCATAACTTGAAAACTAGTAGTTGGAATTCAATACAACTTCATACAATGGTCAAATGCAATGAGAGGAAGTGCAGTGTACAATAACCATAACTCCATCTTCAGTATTTATAGAGCTATTGCCCTTTGTTCCTTTTCTTGTCTTCCTGGACTTATTTCAGAGTAATTCAATAAAATAAAACTTCATCAATGGCCAACCACATTGAAAGGAAATGCAACATACAAGAACCACAACTATCTTTAATTGCCCACAACCATAACTCTATTTCAATTCTTTTACAAGGTACAGTTGAGACTGCCTTAGCGACCCCCAGATTTCAACGACTCCCTGTCTTATCGGACCTTCTTTCAGTACTCTCAACGTATTTTCCTATATAAATGGTCTGAATTAAACGACTCCCTGTCATATGTGACAAGCGACCCTAATTGTCTGGTCCCAATGCAATGTTTTGTCTGATTTAAACGGCTTTCACACCTTTTAATTGTCCGTTAATTCCGATAAATAATACTATTTTAACACCCAGAGGGCCAAAATAATTAAGTCCAATGATAATCCAGTAGCAAACAAACTCTACACACCTCTGCCAGGTTCAATTACACAGTTTACATGTATACAGGTATCGAGTGACGTCTGTTCCCTACTGCCAAATATGGTAAGCATGATGCAATCGATGTGTGTGTAATGTACATAATGACCTGAGTAAACTGGATTAAGACTTGTGTCAGATTTTTTTATGCCACCGCAGCATCTGCGATGCGGTGGCATATAGCGATTCACCTGTGTGTTTGTGTTTGTGTGTGTGTTATATAGATTATATAGTGAACTTAAAAAATCTTCTTGTGAAAAAACCACTAGTCCAATTTCAACCAAACTTGGCAGGATTGGTTCCTTGGGTGAAGGGCTTCCAAAGTTGTTCAAAGAATTTCATTCCATGCAG